AATAAAATATATATATATACCCACATTATTGTGCAAGAGATCTCTATCATCCAAATCTGTTAAATAGTTTGGGGGTATGTTAACCACAACTGGAAAACCTGAAAGAAGAAGGAGTTATTAGGCTGTATTCCAAATGATGAATGGCAATCTAAATTTTATTTACTTATTATTTATTACTTATTTTAAATCACTCCTATTCACAAACAAGCAAAACATGTATGAGATGTTCAAAAAGATGTTTAAGGTAGAAACATGCTGCTTCATCTAGTTAACTCAGTCATTTTATAAATGAAGTCTTTTGCAAGGTACAAGGATGGGGATGCAGCTGAGCAGTAGAATACCTGTTTAGCATACCTGAGACTCTGGGTTCAATCCCTAGCATTGCAAAAAATGAAGAGGAAGAAGAAGAGGAGTAGGACGAGGAGGAGGAAGAGAAGAAGGAGAAGAAGAAAAAAATAAAAGATAAGACGAACATGATTTGTTAAGTATGTTTCTTATTTAACTGTAATCCCAGAACTCAGGAGACTGAAGCAGGAAGAGTTTAGTTTGAAGTTAGTTTGGAATACAAAACAAGTACAAGGCCACCCTGGACTAAAAAACAAAACAAAACAAAACAGGAAAAAAAAAAAACCCAGAGAAGTAGGAAGGACTGGTTTCACATTTAAAACATGTCTCTTTAGGTACTGTATCTCACACCAAATTCCTCTTTATATTGCACTGCCACAATGTGTTAAGAGAAGAACCTCATAAATAGGGCAACACAACTTCTCCGGGGCTAATACAGAGGTTAAAACCAGAAAAGTATGTGTTTATTTTCAGGGTTTAGTGAATCATTTTTTAAGCACACAGATTTTCCTGCCATTTTATTATTGTGGTTCTTATTCTGTCTTGTAGTGTCCATTCTCTTCTGTCCTAGCACTTATCATGGTTTGTGCTGACACACTTATGAGTGTGTCTGTTTATTTACTGTCTATCTCCTCCAGCTTCTTCATAGCATAACACATGGTAGGTACTTAGAAGTTACTTTTTTCCTGGATGCAACACGCACTGAGTGTCTGTTTCTTCATTCAGCTGATATTGATTGACTGCTCAAAATGTGTCCCATGTTCTGTAAGCTTCTTTCCAAATACTGGACTTTCAGAAAGAGTAGTCAGTCAGTTGCATGTTTTGCACAAAAAGAATTATGACTTAAGGTCTTACTACCTATTACACCACTTCAGACTATATACTTTAGTTCATTTGACACTCTTGTCTCTAACAAGTACAAATAACCTTATTTCTAAGTAAGCAATTTCTACACATGCTTGACATCACCCTAAACTGCACAAAGGATTTTATAAAATAATGAAAACTTGACTTCTCACTGCTTATATATACATAGCACCAAAATATCAGAATGCCTCCCTCTACACACTTATTCCTAAAATCCTCAAAAAGTGTCAGGTGATCTCTTTTTACAAAAAATATGAATCGAATATAGGCTAAGTCATTATTTTTATAGAAACTGTTTCTGGTGAAGAAACAAGTTGAAATTTCCACTGACTGATTACGATATCTCCCGCCCGTGGTCTATGAGTATAAAAGTCAATGCAGGGCAAAGGAGCCCCATGAAGAGCTCGACAGAGCGGCATATTCCTTGACACTTTAACCTCTCAAATTCCTATATGTTTTCAATGTAAGCAATTCAGAAACCACCAAAATGGCTTTAATCTAGTCATAATAGTCGAGGATGAGAGTACCCCAGTGATATAGAGGAATAAAGGAAATCAAATCCAGATAAGGAGACATATAAAACAAGTTCTCTGCCAGTTTGCTTTACAGTCGGCTCACAAATAGATTTCCTTTTGGCAAGTCTAAGAGATGCCGAATTTAAAAAGCAAGAGTATCACCTTACTGGAGGTGAATAAAGAGTACAGAAGGATGAGCGATTTTGTTCTGTCAATACAAGCGTTGAAACAAATAACTACTTGAATAGTGCGATCTGGCTTTCTCATAGTGTTTCATTTTAGTTTATTTATTTATTTGTTTGGTACTGGGGATCAAACTCAGGACCTTGTGCTTTCCAGGGAGGCGGCAGCACCGCGGAGGTATATCCCCAGTCCTACAGATGATTCTTTAAAAAAAGAAAATAATCTCAAGAAAAAAGCAAAAGGAAAGAAATCTTTAAAATGTTTTAAAAATAATAGCCAGTGTGCTGCTGTAGCGAGAATGAATGAAGGACATTTCCCTAAGACTAGGAGAGTAAACACTCCATTTTCATTAAAAGTGCCTTTCCCATAACTGGTCCGTAAGCATTTCCCATGACTCCACACTTGAGCGTTTTGGCTGCAAGAGGATCTGGCCATTAGAAAGAGGCTCTCGATATGCTGAGTCCCAGCCGTGCTGAGAGACTTGGCACCTTTATATGCTACTTCCTAATACCAACCCCAGCATAAAATGTCATCAGAAGCTTGCATAAACATTGGACTTAGATTCACATAAATTATTTCTGTCCTGAGGTGCTGTATGCCAGAATTTAGTAAAAACAACACTTTGAGTAAATAGAATTGGCGAATAAATGTAAGAATATTAATCCAACAAAATGATCATAGAAAAATATAATCAAAAGTACACACTTGTAAATCTTGCAATGATGTGAAACGTTTATCTTGTGCTTCTGAATTTTTATTGGACATTTCCACAGAGTTCCTTTAAGCTGATATTGCCAAAGTGCTTCGAATTATCAGTTGCTTTGCAGAACTGTAGTCTTTGAGTTTCATTAAAATGCTCAGGAATTATTTTAATAATCATATGTATGATTAGTGCCTGTTTAATGCTGCATCTACAGATTCATTTTAAGAGTAAACACTGGGACAATGAAATATAATGCCAGTGATGATTGCTCCTGTCAGCAAAAACTTGTCTTATTTTATTAAAAATCACCAACAAAATTCAATGAACAAAAGATCCAATTTCTATTTATAGACATTTTGTACTCTACAGTATTGTGGTATCTGCACACTGCAAGCCTACACGTAGCAGAGTTTTTCAGTTTGCCTAGGGTAAATTCATAAATCAAGATGCATAGAGCTCCTCTTTGTATACGAGCACATCCTACTACATTCAGTTTCCCCCCGTGTCCTATTTGGGTTTTTGGTCTAATATAACAGTACTCACACAGTCAATACTGAGTACATGTAAGTGAATGAAGATTTCCTGGGAACGATGATCATTTCGCAATTGGAAATAATAACATTGTAATATTCTCAGTGATCCATTTTTACTGTAAGTACATATTAAATAATATTTATTCCTAAGCTATGCACCTCAAAAATTAAATGAAATTGAAATACACAATGAAAACACATTTCTCTCTAAATTCCAATTGGCTTCATTCCTCGCAGACACCTCACCTCATGTTTATTCTGCATTTACTGTTTTCTACTATTTCACAGTACCCTCAGCTCTTCTCTCTGATGTGTTCATTTTCTTTCCCCAAAGCCACTGTCTGTATCCACACATCCTTCCCACTCTTCCCTCTTTGTTATTTTCTCATTCCCTACTGATATGGGAATAATAGGATCCCAAGGCTGTCCTTACTGTATAATTAAAGTATGAATTTCCAGGAGTTAGAAATTGCAGAACATTTTTATTATGCTTCTATAATAAAGGCAGGTAACACTGAAAGAATTAAAATGGCTTTTTCCTAGCAGACTGCTTGGTAAAGATTTTTTTCCCTTTGGTTCTATTGTTTTCAGAAACCAGGAGGTTGAAATGAGAATAGGTTCGCCGATTCTTTTTTTCTGCAAACACCTCTATCTTTTGCATGATATATATCCCCCTAGATCCTGGGAATATGTTGTAAACTTGTAACAGATGGTGATGAAGCTTCACATTTTTATACAATACATTTTTTTAAGATTCTAAATCTACTATGTGTATCTTCCAGGAAAAATGACCTTGAATGAATGAAGTCACAGTTTGAAGGAAAAACACCCCACAGATAGACTAGCATAGAAATAGTGAGTCAATTGGGTTTGTTTTGTTCTGTTCTGTAGGATGAAATAATTTCATATGAAAAACAGAATGCTGAAAAAGAGGAATCAAAGGTCATCCTAACAGTGGAGGTGTACCTATTAATTGTTCCAGGAAAACCAGTAAGCTGTACTTTGCACTGAATAGAAACATGTGGAAGACAAGGCAACACTTTCTGCAAGGAAAAATGTTATTTGCTTCACTTGGGTAATGTTGGGGGCTTACCAAAAATTGTTCTGGCACAATATCTACCAGCATGAATGTTAGGAGGGCTCTAACACTGTGAGTGCTGATATTTTATGAATGTTTTATCATTGGCTTGGAAACAAGAAGTTTGCAATTGAATCAACAGTATGTCAGACAGACAAAATATTAAAAAAAAAAGAACATTGGTGAGAATTACTAATGTCCCTATTGTAAAAACACACTGAAGTTAATAGGAAACTTGATCCCCTTAACCCATTAACACAAGTGAACTTTTAATTGCACAGTTTCCCAGACACACAGGGTAGTGCTTGCTAACTTGCATATCGGTTATTCAGAGGGTGCAGCAATGAGAAGAGCTGCTGCATATTCAGTTACCCACCTCGCTTTTCGACAGCTTCAATGCATTGCTTTACAAACCATGGAACTGTGGAATTTTCACATTCACACACTGTGTGCAGATGAGAGCCAAAAATTTGATCTGCAAAAGAAACAAAGATGAGCTTCATTAAAATCTAAGCTTTGCGTTGTTCCTTAATTTGATTCTGTTTCCATATCCAGTGCATGCTGAAATCTTCATCTTGCATAGGAATTGATTTTTTGCTTTAATTTCAGTGTCTATGGCAGACATACAAAGGCCGTCACTTCCTTCTTTATGGAACAGGACCCTGGCCCTGGAGTAAGAAAGCTGACACCCTGCCATCGATTATCAGAGATGACTGAGTCAGTTATAGTCTCTCTGGGCCTTAACTTTGTTGTCTATAAAATGATGACAAAGAATTAAGGTAATTTCCACAAAATAATCTCAGTCTTTAGTTTTGTGCATATTTTAGAAGTTTCTCAGCGGTCATCAAGATTATGATTTTGTAGGTACATTTAGTATGTTTATTCTGCAGCTCCGTGGCATTTGAAGAGGCCATCGCAGCAGAGGTACTTTGCAGTGAATTACTTTACATGCCATCTGCTTTGAATGCCCTTCCTTTCCTTTAATCTAAATATTGCCTTTCCTTTAGGAATCAGCTCAGATCTCATGTTAACCTCAAACTCCTTCCTTCCTCAGTTTTTCACCTTCTGAAGGATAGGTTCTTTGGAACCCCAGTCCTTCAGGATGTCCACAGGTGATGCAGGAAGAGGGCCTGAGATATAGTGCCTTAGCAACATAAGATTAAGCCCAGGTGAACAGGGTTCCTTAAAGTTTGTTGTTGTTGTTGTTACAGTCTCTAATATGCCAGTGCACACTTTGAATTTCTGTGATGGGGTAGAGGATGCAGTATTTCTCCAACTAATTTGCATAAGGTCCTTTTTCTTTCAGAGAGCATCTCTCTGGACTAAGGTGACCAAGAGCACATAATGCAAGACCCTATCCTACCACTCTCATTTGAGACATGATTTATGCTACTTTCCATTGTGTATTGACATTTACAATATGTGGGATATATTCTCTTGAAGCAGATTCTGAGTGTCTGAGTCACCTACATATTCTTATAGTTACCAGAACTTAGCACTGATTCTAGCCCACAGTGTGCACATGTAGATTTTTTTCAAAAGTGTGTTAAAACAATACATACCATAAAATTTACCATTTTAACCATTTTTATGTACAGTTCAGTGGTAGGAAGTACATTCGCACTATTTTGCATCCATAAACATCATGCATTTCAAGAACCTTTTCAGTAGCACTGAGGTTTATTACTTACAACGATATTAATATGGACTGAGCCCAAAGGTTTTCTATTATGATCAGAATAAAATCAAAGTCCCTATTGTGACTTAGAGAATTGTGCACCCTCTGGCCTCCACTAACTCACTGATTTCATTTGCATCCTTTCTTCCTGTCACTTAACTCTCCTGCAGCCCCACTGTCCGCACTGCTAGTTTCTGACAACCACACTTCTGCTGCAGGGATGGCGCACTCATTATTCCTCTGCATGGAGCCCCATTGGCTGAGGTCTAAGATCCAATGACACCTTCTCATTGTAGCTTTTTCTACTCAGCTTTTTAAAATGGTGTCCATCAATAGCGTTGTCTATTTTACTTTCCCTGCTTTACTTTTCTCAGAGCTCTTAACTGCACCTGATACGTTCACCGCTTAGTTATTTCCTTTGCTTAGAATACAAAACACAGGAGAGGACAGAGCATTCTTATTTCCTTTAGTATTCGATTACTAGTTCCTAGATGGACAATGTTTAACACATAGTGAAAGTTTGATAAACATCCGTTGAATGACTGTCTGAATTGATATATTTTTTAAAATGAGGAAAATATGTACTATAGTATAGTGAAATGTAAAAATGAAGATAAAGGATCATGAGTCTTCTAGGAAGTAGTGATTTTCATCCATGTTTGGGAAGAGTTAGTGGTGTGAATTGGTAAAATTTAGCATGGAGGAAAGAAATTAAGGCTAATGCACTATAAATAGTATACTCCACTATGGAATTGCACACTTTTATTCAAAATACAGAAGATAAACTTAAAACAGATATAGTGCAAAAAAGTAGGAATTTGCTTTGAACATTTGGTCATGTAACAAAGATGTGTTCCAAAAGTGAGCAGCTCTATAAGAAAGAGTAATATAAAATATGATGTAGAAAAAAATAACCCAGAACTTCAGATCATATAATTAGGTTGGCTAGAAATTATAATCAGGAAGAATTGCTATAAAGTAAAAACAAAAAATTGCTAATATACTTCAGAATTAAAGTCAATATAAAATATTTATTGAGTATTTCCTATCTTCACAGCAATGATATAGGCCTATTAGATTGTAAAAGACATCAAGATTTTTCTAATATCTTAGGGGCTAATAGAACTGACCAAAAATCATACAAAACAGAACATAGCAAATGGCATACAAGGAACTGAATGCTAAGAAAAACATTCTTTTGCATAGGGGTTAGGTCTTATCATTCCGTTTAATGCAGATGGGCAGGGGAGAAGCTGTGGGGAGAAGAAGGAGAAGAGGAAGGAGAAGAAAAAGAAGAAGGAGGAGGAGAAGAGATGGAGGAGGAAGAAGAGAAAGAAATAGGGAAGAGGAGAAGGAAGAGAGAAAGTTCGTGAAATAGAGGTCATTCATGAAAACTAGTTTCTTTAATGGAGTGAACTTTACATTTTGCAGAGTTTTTCTTTATTTTTTATAGGTAGATATAAGAAGCTAGACACAAAGACATTTCCTCTTTCAATCACTCAATTATTTGAAAAGAAGACCGAGAGTATCTATTCTATAATATAAACATAGAATTATTGGGTGCTGGTAATAAAAAATCCAAGATTCATTCCTTACAAGGTACAACTGTCTTTCTGGGGGACAGAATTTCAGTAAATGGGTGGGAAGACCTATTCATGGAAACTGCTATCCCTGAAAACACAGATATAATGTGAGGCCATTGGGATCCCTTGAGTGTCCTTGGAGAGGTCTCCAAGAGGGTCTGAATCCTCCGGAATGAGTAAGGCTTGGATGGACTGGTAAAGAAGAAGGACAGGGCATTTTGGGAAGATGGGGGAGACATGCATCAATAATGGGTGAATGATAGAAAGAACGGAGTAGTGTATTGAGGGAAATGTTCTCTCCTTGTTTAGAAAAATCTTGATAAATTAAGCTTTAAAAGAAGACAAAGATTGTTCTATGAAATATGTTGTTATTTTTTGTCAAATAGGCTGTTATCTGAAAGTGTGCAGACATCATTGATTTCCTGTATACAAGCCATGCCTCTCCTAGCTTCTTTCTTGTTAGAATTCATCATAAGACAGAACCTGGAAATGACCTCTATTGACTACTACCTCCCTTGTTGCATCTCTGGGTGATTACATAGCCTTTTCAATGAAATGTAAAAGGAAGTGAGTTGGAAAGCTACAGGGCTTTTTTTTTTTCTTCCTTGAAAAAAGGAGAAAGGAATATAAGGAAAGCCTTTACCTCTATTCTTCCAACTTTGAACAACATCTTGTAATGATGTGATGTTTGGAGCTATTGTAGCAATCTTGCCACTATGAGACAAGCTTGAGGATAGAAGCTAATTTGATAACACAACAACAAATACAACAACAAGCGTGACTTAAACCAACATAAATGCTTTCTTTAAGTTTCTCATTATAAGACATAATAGTCATTAACTTTGTTTCCATCATAAGCAGCCAAAAGCATCCTCAACAATAAGGTATGATATAAGGAAGTTGCTATGTTTTTTAAGTCAAGTGTGTATAATAATCATAGTTTATCTTAAGGAAGTTTACTTGGAAAACTTTTTAAAGTAAAGAAAACTGGTGGGGGTGCAGAGTTTGGGAAAGACAAAACACTAAGAGATTAACTGAAAGGAACACAAGATTGCCTTAAAATATGTTGTGAATACTAGAATCAGGATCATTATAAGGATCATTATCAGAGTCACCACAATTTTTGTCCTCTCATCTTCTTGTATTTAATCATAGGTACGACTTATTTGAGTGGGAAGCAATTATTTCCCCCATACGAGTGATGTTAGTCTTGACTGTGTACCTTGCCTAGGATGATTTAACGTGAGTGGAAATGCATCGGACACAAGCAGGTCTGAAGAAGCACTGTGGATTTCTGTTCACCCTCTTGCCTCTCTGCTGTTGTAAAAAGAATATCTCCCTTGAGAAGCTACTGTCCCTTCAGACTGGCCCCGGAATAAAAACATAGGACAAGAAATGAAGCCAGTCCTTAGTGAAAAGTCCAGAAAAGTCCACATTTAAAGCAGAGCTATCCAGCTAATGCAGTCCTAGGGTACCTGATCCACAGAAACACACAAGATAAACCTTTCTTGTTACATACACCGACGTTTTGTATTTTTGTTATGCATTAATAGCATTCCAATATAAGGTTAATGGGTGTTCAGGTTTTGGGGAAAGGTTATCTTAAACTATGCTGTAAGAATGACAAGGGGAATGGCTGGACATAGAAAATGTAACTGGAGAGCAAATTAGAGTAAGAAAAATACTCTAAATGTGCTAAAAATGTGGAATTATGCCCTTAACTTTGAATTAATTCTAAGCATCCCAAAGAAAATTGTTTGCACTTTAAAATTTAAAAAATTGACTTACCCAAGATTATGACATTTCTTATATTGTATTTTCTCTAGATCAATTCAAGTCTACCCAATTTAATTCAGTGAATATTTAGTGAGCACCTCCCATATGCCGGGCCTCATAAAAAGTGGAAACAACAATTGTCTCATACAATAACTATAAGCCAGACATTGCACTGTAGCCTAAAATGCCCACAATCTAGCATAGGGTCTTTTTCAGTTTAGGGGAAGAGAATACCTCTCACTCACAGTCACAGCAGAATGTGGTCCATGCTGTTACCTCAAGTAACAGTGAAGATTTATTGTATAATTGCACTGAGCCACAAATACTTTCTATACATGCTCCTGCACTTCTGATGGATTTACATCCCAATAAACCCATTGTACCATAAAGATATTGTAAGTAAAATACATTTACTGAATCTGCCCTGCTGAATACCAT